TTCTTTATCTTTATCTTTATCTTTATCTTTATCTTTATCTTTATCTTTATCAAAGAAAAAGAAAAAGATAAAGATAAAGATAAGGACATTACTATATATTAACCTGTACTTCCGGTAATGCATTCAAATGATTTCCGGTGTGCATTCCAGAAAAAATTTCAGCAAGTTTGACGTTTTGTTTTGCGCCTTCATTTATTTTGTTTTCGTTTGTTTTCTTTTTTGTTTTGACATTTCCTGTCCACATTATTCAATAGCACAATATTTTTTTAGTATTGGCGATACTTCTGAAAATATCCGGTTAAAGTGGAGCAATTCTGTCGAGTGGCGAGGCCACATCTCACATTCACCTTATGAGTCCGAGCAAGGAGCAGCCGGATCGTTAGAAGTGATGACATTTGTGATGCGGCTTATCCGCCAACCGGCACATCTCACCCAAAATAGCGCAATAAAATTTCTGCAACAGCAGTATGCAGCTCCTGCAGTCACTCCTATCCGTCTACGAAGGTGAGTGACCCAATAAACAATGCTTTGCGTAATTTACATGCAAAAAATTACCTCAAACCCTTTTTGGTCAAATATTTTCAGTGGTACTACCGAGAAACATTCGAATGACCAGAAAAGCCAGCTACCCCCTGTTGTCCCGCCGCATATTTGTCCTCCGGAACCACAATATCCGCCAAGTAAAATTGGTGAATTAAAAGATGCGCCAAGTTGGTCCAAGTGGCCGCCACCAACACAGGATGTCAAAAAGACCACTTCACAGAGGTTGTCACGCGAAAATGTCGAAAACTATATGTTTAAGCATTTCTTCGACTACATCAAAAACTATGAAAAATTATTTGAGAAAAACTTTCCTTCTGCCATGAAGGTGTATCGCACTTATGTGGACGGGGTCATGGATTTCTACAATGACATGAAAGCTTATCTAAAGATATCACGCATTGCTAATAGTTCCCCCATGGGTCTAAAAGCATTGAATCGTAAAGAATTGGAACTATACATGCAAATGCCTCGAGATATGATGAAGGTTGCTCCCGCTTTATTTGGAGCCGCGCTTCCGCTTGTCGGATACGTGGTGATGCCTTTGATGTAAGTCAAATGCCTTATTATTATTTGAATTCTAAATTTTCCTTGAACTTCGATTCAGCTTTGCGTTTCCACAGCAATGCCTTTGTTCGCATTTCTGGACGTTACAACAAAGAGCAGAGTTTCAACAAGTCGCGTTGCAAAAACGTCTTAAAAATAATAAGCTAGTTTTGAGAATATTGCAGTCGAAATTAAAAGATGTCAAAAAACACCAACATCACGATCAATTGCAACATATATTGGGCATGTTAGGTAGTGGTTTTCACCCCAGTGTCGAAGCATTGCTTGAGGTTAAGGACATTTTCGCTCAACCGCCATACGATTTACTATCTCTAACTAGGAAACAGATTGTAAGCAAGTCAAATTCACAGCAGAATTGTGAACTTAAAAAGAAAGTACTACATATTACATATATTTGTTTTCATTAGGGTCTGCTGTGTCAACTACATGGAGTTCCTACTCTCTTGTTCAAGCGTTTCCACTTATCGGAGCATGCATTTTTGGTACATCACATGGATTTGGCTATAGTACGCGAAGGCCACGTTCATAACATGCACCCCGATGGTATCCGTCGATCCTGCTATATTAGAGGTCTTAATCCCGTTAACCTTAGCACCGATGAAATGATATCATGGCTACGTAATTGGATAAAAATTTCTACATCGATTGAAGAACATCACATCAGCATGTTCCTGTACCTGCCAATTCTATTAGGATACAATCACCCAAATAATTGGCACCTTATTTATGACAGTAGTTAAACAATTAGGTCTAGGAAACCAGCAGTGATGTTATAAACCTAAAAAAAAAAATCATAGAATTCAGTTTATTTACAAGCGGCAGAAATATGCTACAAACTGTGCTCCGCTTTTTGTTCATCTTTTACTAGCAAAGTATTCCCAGCTGTAAAATGAAACCAATTCAATAAGCAGATCCATTAGTTTCATTCTAATAGAATGAAGTGTTCAAACCTGGGTTCAAACATTTTCCGAAATTAAACACCTCTGTATTAAAAAAACTTGGAATTTTTAATTTTTCAGTAATTAATTAAAAAAACATAATTTGTAAAGAATTTCAAAAATCCTCTATTTCATGCAAGTAAACCATCCATCAACCGCCTATTCAAATACAAAAATCAAAAGACGACGAAATAAGACAAAGAATCCTTTATTCCTAAAAAATAAGTTTATTTTCTTTTAAAAAGCAGTCAACTAGTACTAGAGCAGACTAAGCTGAAAAGGTGAAACTTTGCGTTTATTTCTTGGAGGCACCCTTTTTCACGCCTTGTGCTTTCAATTCGCGAATGCGTTCGCGTTTGTCCTTCTTCAATTTACGCTCTGTACCGTCAGACTTGGTACGCTTTTTCAATGTGTTGAAAGCAATAGTAAGCAACTTGTTACGTTGACGCTTGGCATAGCGCAGCTTGAAGCGATCGAAATCATTCAAATGTGAACGCTGCAAGTAAAACAAGGAACTTTAGCAAAATAGCAAAGAATTTAAATTTCTTAATAACTAGTCTTTTCAGAGTATTATAAATTAGCTTCATTATGTATCAGCCGGCAATTCCTATCAAGAACTTTCTTTATCATCATGCGAACTTGTGTGCATACAATATTTTGGTCGCTCGTTTGCACACGACTTTGAGGTTGTTCTCACTTGCCTGGTCATGTTGTCGTTGTTGTAGCGGCTACAACATCCTGGTTATCCGGTTATGCGGTTATATTTTTTATTCAGTATACAATAAAATACACTGATTAAAATACATGATTTTTAACCAAATAACTTAATGACCAGGCAAGTGTGAACACCCACATTCTATTTGAATTACCTTGCAAATGTTCTGTGATTTGGCTGACCATGGGCTAGCCTTCCATTGGGCTTTTAAGTCGCTGTCCTTCCAGGCCTTGCGCACAATACGTGTGGGAGCAGTGAAGGGGAATTTAATGCGGTATTTGGTCAAATGCAGATTATTCAATCTGTATGCCTGGCGTGGAACTCCAGTCAGTGGACCATCAACAAGTACCTGAAAATTAAAACATCCATATAAAATCCAGCAATAAAATGCGCAAAAACCGCCAATATGCTTTAATACGCTATCAGTTGTGGTTGTAAATAGCTTCAGATATGTATCAGTTGGCACTTCCTATCGTCAACCGTTTCATCACTAGCGTACTTTGGTATACATATTGGCGAAATCATATTTCGTTCACTAACCCGTGTTTGGTCAATAACATCAACAATGGCCACCAGACGACCCTTCAAGGAGCCCGCTGAGCATTTGGCAATACGGCCAGTCTGTACAAACCTTTGGAAAGGCTGTAAAACAGATAAAAAAAATGTATATATGATTATAATGACGAAAGTTATTAGCGCCTCCACGTTTCTGTTAGCAGCTACCCCGGGGGATAGTACCACGTGAAACAGTTTTGCAAATACATTTTTAACACTCGAAACGCTCAAGAAAATGTATTAACTTATAGCGAGCCATTGTGGCAAAACACCACATTCGTTTACTAATTGTTCACATTTAATTTGACCTTTTTTAAAACGTTTTGCGAGAAAACAAATTGAGCCGTCCCCTTACCATGGTTAACCGGAAAGAAAGAAACTTGGCTGCAGTTGCACTAACAAGAAAGATTCAACGTCAGATCACTGAACTGTAACTAGGCAATGAAGAAATCGCGATGACAGTCCAGAGGTGTTAAACCAAACATTAGGTGCAATCCCGTATTCCTCGGACTAAAACTAATAAAACTGTCAAAAAATAAAAATTCGCTCCGAGGGAGAGAGTAACATTGAAGAGTACGGGATCGCTTTTTAGTAAAAATGGTAACTTCTGTCAACTTCAACATAACCTCCAAATTTTGGTTGTAAATTTTTGCTTGATTTGTATGTAAACACGCGCAGCTCACTCATGTAAATAACCAAAAATACTTTCAAACTCATTAGAATCCACTTAAACAAGTAATTAGATTCTTTTCAACATGAATTAGCAGAGTGCACTTTTCGTTTGTTTACAATTTGGTTGCCAAGCACACTACAGCTGCTCGTTTGACACATTTACCAGAATTTACCAGCAAAAAATTCTCGGACTAAAACTGGTAACTTCTGACAGAGAGAGAACCGTGTTTACTCTCTTTTTTGTACTCTCAATAGTCAGAGAACCGAGTACGGTATCGATTTCCAATAAAATCTGGCTGATTCTGACTACAATTGGGAAAACTGGAACGACGGTTCTATATAGCAGAGATGTCTGTTTTCGAAAAACATCGATGCATCGATACATTGACTATTTATTCATCGAGTGGAAAATTTTCGATGCATCGAAGAAAAACATCGATATTTTCGATGCATCACTAGTCAAATTGACAAATATAAAATTTGTGTGTTTTCGTTTATTCTGTCATTTTCTATATTAAAGTGATTTAATTTTTTTGCTTAGCCATAATATGTCGGAATTTAAACAAAAAAGCAATGGTTCATCATCGAGAACAATCTATATTAATCCACATTTCAAAAAACCAATAACTTATCCTCAACAAGTAATATCAGCTCGTGCTCATATTAATCCTTTATTCCTGGGAGCCCATCGACCTCCAGCTATACATATGAACCCCAACTTTGTGAATAACACGCTATTGAATCGACAAAGCTTACCGCAAAATAACGATGTGCGAAACTTGACTTCAGAAAGTGTAATTAGATCTAGTGTAGTTCCACCACAACATATGCGGATAGAGACAATAGACCTATGTCGAACCTCAGATCATTTGCTGAAGGAATCAAATATAAACAAGAATCTAAAAGAATATCCAGATAACAAAATTACATTCCAAAAAATTATAAGTAAATCCCGTACAAAAATTGTTCGCGAGCCAGCTTTAGTTAATGACGCCCCCACACCTACCTCAGATCCACTCATCCGTTTAAGTAGCAAAAAGTTGGTAAGACGTATGCATGTACGTCCGACAACAAGCATAACCCAAAAGACTACGCTGGCCACTAGCATCAGTACAATTGGAAAATACAAACTTGTTCGAAGTAGAGGAGGACCCTGCATCACCACTAAAAGCAAAGCCTTGACACCGTCATTAAAATTCAAACGAAAAACTTTCGTAGCGCGCTATGCGTTGCAACGTTCAACCTCCGAATCCAAAATTACACCGACGTAAGTATAATAAATTAATTTTAGACAGTTGCAAATTTAATTTTCCCATGCTTTAGGTCTTCTAAATTGCGTGCATTGCCAGTCAATAAGAAGCTTCAATTGTTAAACATCAACGGAGTACTCTACAGGTCAACACGCAACAAATTACAAAGAAAAGATACTACTGTACCTCCAAATAAACTAGCGTCGGCTGGATTGTCTACGTTAAGCCTTAAGTCAAATTCTAACGCTACCCAGAAATCCAACAAAAATTCTTATGGCCGTGTGATATTTGTGCATGGAACGAAATTCGAATTGGACAAGACTGGATTTAAATTAACACGTCTTACTCCAACAAGCATACAGAGCGTGTCGGGGGGCCTCCAAAACTCAGAAGGAACGGCTTCAAGGCTGCGCCAGCGCATAGATATTGGTGGCCTAACGTACGTCGCTTCCACAACGCAAAATGTCTTCGTGCGAACTCGAAACCACTTAACCTTGGCACATTTAAATACAGCAAAAAATCGTAGCCTGCAGCTTTTAACACGTCGCCTAGTTAAAAGCAATATACCGTGTGCCATTTTCCAACGCATTGGCAAATGTATTGCTCACGAACGAGGGAGGTGCAACAAAGTGCACGATAAACGACAGGTTACCATTTGCCCACGGTGTGTATTAAAGGTTCTTGAATAACATAGTCAATTATTTACACTCAATTTCCACTTTGAAAGATTTTTGCGCAGCGAATGCCACAACTCCGAGTGTTTACTCTCGCACAATGTTTCTCTGGCAAAAATGCCTGTTTGTAAATTCTTCCTTCAAGGTGTTTGTGTACGCACAGACTGCCCATATCTCCACAAAAAGCTCAGTGTGAACGCGGATATATGTCCAGATTTCTTGCGGGGTTATTGCAAGCTGGCCGATCAGGTAAATGCACACAAAATGCTCTAAGAGGATTGGTTAACCTTTTTTTGTTTTTGTTTTATTAGTGCAACAAACGCCACGAATTCGTGTGCCCAGAATATGAGCGCAGTGGAAATTGCGAAATGGCGAGTTGTGTGTATTGCAAGAATCGCAAACGGAAACGGCTGAATGAGCAACCAAGCCAACACAACAAAGCAGGGGTGACAGCTCGAATAAAGGAAAGCCCCGGTCCGGGCAGCCATGATACTTCTGCAGTGCCGCTGCGATACTTCACTGACAAAGACACACATATAGCGCCGAGTGAAGCACCTGAAGTCCATAAAGCTGATGAAAAGAAAGACCCAGATACTCATTCAGAAATCGATGATATGCCTCCAGTGTCTTTTCGCCCTAAGGTGGGCGCTTTGCCTGCCTTTATACCTCTTTCGTAAAGAAACCTAAATATGTATTAAAAATTATATTCTTTTACGATTAAGAAACTTAACGATTATTAACTAAAAAATAAAAAAACAATTTCACAAGGTTTTAGCCGAGACAAAATAAATTGTAAGCATTGATATTTCATTTTTGTGTATCATAATATCAATAGGGTAATTATAGATTTATTTGAATATTCGCTTCTGTTACCACTGTTTTTTTTTTGTTATCATTTAAGTAAATACTCGGCATGTTTTTGCATATCAAATAAGTCTGGGAATGCATAGACATACATATTTATGTATATATCTTATATTTATATAGCATATGCAATACTTTATACACAAAATCCAAAGGTCATAAAGTATCTAAAGCGGTACGCTTTCTCCACTGCCTACATAGTACATATTTATGCTTTTAATTAATATTTTGCATACATTTTTTCTTAAATACTAGAAAATATGTGGATTTAGGTAACAAGTAGAGTTTTCAAGTTGCAAAGTTGGTGGTATGAGGTTGCACTGATTACTATATTTCGTCTAATAACAAATTTAATGGATATGATAGTTATGACTTTCGAAAAACAACATTTACAAACGCGTACATACATAATTTAATATAAACATTACAAAAATTGCTGTATTAAATACGTATTTTACTAATGAACGAGGAGGTCGTATACTTATGGAAAACTAACTGGAAATAAAATATAAAAAATGGTTTACTGCGTTTGAAAATACAAACGATTGAGCAAATCAACGAATTGATTTGCCAAACAACTAAAAAGATTACAAAAAGCTTCTAAAATTTAATACAAATCATACGCTTATCATACGAACATACATATATTACATATAACGATTCTTGTAAGTTGGCTATTTTCCTCTTATATTTTATTTAATTTTTGCTCTCTATATAAGCAACAAATGTGCGATATGTATGTATGTTTTTAATGCATAACACCAGAAAGAAAAATTTAAGAATGTCACCCCTATTACGAGTGTCGACTAGTCGTAGATAAACGACTCTTATTCGATTATCGACTTTCCATGGTATTGTGAATTTCGATTTTTCGTTCAATAAGCATCTTAATAAAACTATTCATACTCACCTATTGAACGAAAAACCGACATTCAAATTACTATGGATAATAGAAAATCGGCAAATAGTCGTTTACAATAGTCTACTACAGTCGACTCGCGTTCTTTCCCATTTTGTACCGATTAATGTAAATGTGAAATATAAGCTGTTGTGTGTTCCTTAAGTCTATAGAAACCAAAGCACAAGATTAATGCAAATACTCATGTGTTGTCAATTTGACCAGCTGTCTAAGCGCGTTACATTCCAGTCTACAAAATATTCGATGTACATATTTTTCCTATGCGGATATTTATGAGATATTTCGTGTAGATATAATTTCTCACTACCTTAATAGTAAGCCAACGTTGAAGATTAACTAAAGCCCTTGCAAATGGCGAATACACATGCCTTACTTTTATCTATACATAAAGTGCAATTTTTATTGCTTATAATTTACCAGAATTATACGAATGTTATTAGAGGGGAGAAAAACGAAACGAATAAATGCGAATATATCACAATACGATAGTAAAGAAATTTGAGATCGTGAACGGTGTAAAATCAACGCCGCAAATGTGCAACATGTTTAGTTTGAAGTCATTAGGCACTGAATAAGCAGAATATTAGTAAAATTTAAATTAAATTTCTTAGAAATTTTAACCTAAAATATCGAAAATAGCACTCTTAATTATTCTAATTTTCTACGCAACTCAAGAATATGACTTTTTTAATGTTCCTAAATGATGCCCACTAATCATCTGGAACTAAAAATGGTGCCACCAAACGTGTAAATGCCTCATAACCATGTAAACCTCGTAAACTTACCAAATTTTGTATGGCAAATCGGTTTATTTACGAGGTCTACGCGGTTACGAGGCATTTACGCGTTTTCATGAATACTCATATTAATTATATAGGAATACGAATAAGATCATCTTAAAGTCTGTCCTAACAATCGAAAAAGTGCGAAGAAACGTTGCAGTATTCTTTGCCTATTGTCCAAATTTTGAGTTACCAGCCAAGGAAGGACAAATAGCCAATTCATGAAATTTGCTTAGTTATGTCTCGCATCGTATTGTTTGACTTTTTCAGGTATGGCAGCTTTCTCCACAACAACGTGCTTAGCGAGTTCGTCCAATGATTTCACATAAACTAATTTGCGCCAGAACTTTGCACTGAAAGCAAAAGTTGATTTTTGCATACACTCTAGTGTATCTTTTAAATTTGATGATATACTTACCTAACAAAGGGTCGAGTCATCCATACTATAGACTTTATCCAAAATGTTGGATGCACTAAATACATATTTTTCAGACTTTTTCTTAAACGCCTATCCAACAGTTGATAGCACCTGTGAATGTAGTTATGTATGTATGTATGTATTAGTTGCAGATTCAAAGCTAAAATTATTTAGGCATTTCATACTTTTTTAACCAAGGAAATGGTGGCACGTTCCGACGACTTGTACCGCCATGAAGATAAATAAGCACATAGTCCTCTGTAACTAATTGTTCCAAGGTCTTAACTACGTAAAGAAATAAATTATCCATTACGTAGCTGTAATCAGCACGCGAGCGATCAGGCAGATGACAGGCACAAAATATTACAATAGCGTTATGCCCTCCTGCTTGAAGGTATCCACCGTGCGATAGAACACGTTTATAAGGCTCGATTACGCGCATATCTATTTCTCTGGTACGACCATCGGGCAATGTTATCTTTTGCCAGTTTCGAGAATCGCGCCTTTCCTCAGCTGCTGAGTACTGCGGCAACTGACCAGATCGTGCATTTATATCTGCCGCTAACGCCGATAAATGTCCGTGTGGAGTTGGAGTTACAGCTTCAGCAAATTCATCGTCGTCATCCATGCAGTTAACAACGCCAACATCACCATCTTCACTATCATCATCTAGTCCATCAATTAAGGAACTGGATGGGCTAAGGGAAGCCAAATTATGTTCGATATCTTCATCATCGTCGAAACTGTGATTCGAAATCGAATCCAAGGATGAGATATCGTCCCCGGCATTACCACAATTAGGCGCACCTTTTCGAAATCGTCGTACGTTTTTCTGAGTATCACTACTTGCTGTTTGAATAAGGGCGACCGTCTGAAAGTTGGCTTCAACGGCAGCATGATACTGCGAAACATCTGCTTCAGATTCGCTACTCAAAAGATCGGGACTGTGGGCACGTAAATACGCCAGCTTATTGTGCATTGGAGCTGATGTCAAAGCGGCGCCACGATTGTGGTTCACTGTATTTTGCTCTACTATTGCATTATGTTGCAGGGGCGACTGCACATGTTCATATTGTGGCACCACGTCAGGGAAATTATTACGCTTTACTTCGTTATTTGTTGTCACAGAATTAGTTGAGCTTTGATCGTTTTCTGATCCCGTAGGCGACATCAATGGATGGCTGTCTGTAAGTGTTCGTTCAATATTCTGACGCTGCGGTATTAGCTCTAATTGCAAAGCGCCTGATCGAATACATCTGTTATCTAGATCAGATGTTGGCGCATTCACAGATTTTAAATTTTCTCCCTTTATTGTGCCATTTGTTACCAAATTAGACTCCTTTATAAGTACTTCATGGATGTTGTGGTTGCTATGTGTTGGCGACTGGGAGACATCGGGATCATCATCTTCACCAAGAGGCGAAATCCCTGCTGAGCCTTGTGAAGTTGTAGTATCAGATATATCCATTTTGCTGTCCGTTAATGGACTTTCCATTTGCAAACTAGGAATAAACCATAAACTTAAGTTGTTAAACCATAGATTTTCGCATTAAATTCCAATCGATTAATCAGCATTTGGAGATTTCCTTTTCAACATATGTACAAACGTACATATGTATACTGGTGTATTTGTGCACAAAAGCATCCGTTTTTCGTATTGGGATTCCTTACCTCATTTCTCTTTTTGTAGTACAGAAACACCTTCCGATCTACGGTGCTATTTAATTATTCAGATCAAACTCAATTCAATTGAGTTTTTCCAGCAAAGCTGCGATTTTCACGCAAAAAATAAATAAAAACGTTGATATTTCATCAATCATCGGAAACCAATGCTGCCAGATGTGTAAAAATTTCATTTTAAGTTTGCTCTGTTCAATAACCTGATAATTATTTAGTTATGTTTAATGAGCTGCTCTAGGTTACGCCAGGTTAAGATATCTCGATATCTCACAAAATCGTGTTTCATGAGGATTTTTCTTGCTCTAACTCAAAATGTATTCAACCAAGTGTCATTGAATTTGACATTGCTCTCAGAAGAACCATCCTATAAAGTGAAATTGAAAAAAATTTTATCAATTTTGAATCGATTTTTTATATTTTTTTGCATAATAATACCTTAAAAGAGAGCCTACCTGAGTTGTCAATCACACCTTGTTTAATACACCTTGCTCTAACTTACTCTATTTTTATTTCATAAGCCTGAACTAGAGCAACTTAAGGAACGATTTTCTGCACCAGCCTTTTTGATGGAGTAACTTAGAGCAAGCAAATACACACACACACTTTACAATTCGTCGCCTGGGTAAAAGATTGTCGTATGTTAATTTCGGCAGGTTGTGGGAAATCGCGATTGAAGTTTGGAATGCAATTTCCCAAAAACGCAAAGATAAGATTTTGTCCAAAAGCTCAGAAAATGTTACGAGTTCACACAATTCTCAAATTATTTAATTTTTAATGTTTATTGTTAATTAGTTTTGAGTTTATGAAGGATTTTATTTAGTAAAATTTTGTCGTATTGTCCACATTTTGCCAGCCACTTTGTATGAAATATGACAAAATGTGATCAAAATTTCTACCAAATTAACGACACTTTTTACTCAATATCTCGGAAACTAAAGGAGATATCCACAAATGGAGAACTCCATTTTGAAGATATTAATTAGTTTAATACGATTACATCCCCAGCTACATTTTTACTAAATAATCGAAAAAATTGTAGACAATGGCCCGTAGTCATAGTCAAAATAAAGTCGACTTTAAAGTTAGTTGCAGCTTTTTGACATAATTTTCAATGGGATATCTGTCAAAAAAGCTGCAACTAACTTTAAAGTCGACTTTATTTTGACTATGACTACGGGCCAATATCTCGTAGACCAAAGGAGATATCTAAAAACTGATAACACCAATCGAAAGATCTTGTTTCAAAATATATAACTGAATCTAGAACTAAATACGTCAAAATTGCGCTTACGACAATCTTTTACCCAGGCGACAAATTGAACTGTTGAGCTCTCGATTTTGTTCGCACATTTTCAAACAGTGTAGGAAAAATCGCGAAGCCGGGTTTCGATACGAGTATTTGTT